GCCCCCCCCCCCCCCCCCCCCCGCCCCCGCCCTCGTAACCAGCTAGCCCCGGGCCTTTGCACCTGCCAGGCCTCCTCCTGGCCCTGGCCTGGGTAGCCTTGTAGCCCTGGAGCTTTCTCCCAGCCCCACCCCTGGACTATGCTTTAGTGGTTTGCTGCTGCAGGCTCCCACCCTTCACCTGGTCTCTCAATAAACAACAGCTACTCGCCAGCTGAGTTTCCAGTTGCCCCCCTATACCCTGCCCAGAGGGGGCAGGCAGGGAGCCAAGCCAGGGGCCAGAGCAGAGCCCCCCAGAGCCGCCCCCTTGTGACCTGCGCTTGTGGTGAGCCTGGTGGGTGGGTGGGTGGGTGGCGGAGCCGGTGAGCAGCTATTGCTCAGAGGCTGGTCCAGGGTGCTGGCAGGCAGGGGCTGCGGGTCCCCAGCCATGGGCCTCCTCCCCGGCTGGTCTGCTGTTGCCTTGGTTATCACCCCCTCCCGGCTATCACCCCCTCCCGGCATTGTCACCCCGGAGGCTCAGGAAATTGGTGAGCAGGGCCTTAGGAACATCTGCCTTGCCTGGAATCTGAGCTGGGGAGGGAGCTGGAAGAGAGCCTCCAGGGAGCTCAGGCTTTTTTGGCTCAGGGTGCTGTGCCCACAGAGCCCTCTGCCTGCCTAGGTGCAGAGCCCAGCTCCAGTTCTTGCCCCCTGTGGATCCTGGGCAACTCCTTCCTCTCCTGAAGCGTCTGTCCCTGTTCTGCAAGGTGGCAGCAGGATGAAAGATGGGGCGCACAGAACAGTACAGTGCCTGACATGGTCAGGGTGCTGGAGAATATGGGACGTATGCAAAAAGGGCCTCATGTGTGCAAGTCAGTCTCCAGGAGGGCCCCCTGGTGCATGTGGGGTGAGGGGTGCCTGAGGTGTGCAGGATAGGTGGGGTGGCTGGCACAGTGAGGGCAGCACCTAGGAAGGAGTTTGTCTTGGGCCCTGTGACCCTTGTGGCTTGGCCTGAGGAGGGCCAGGAGGCTGCTCTGCTGGGGAAGGCAGCTTCTCGGCAGCTGTCTTTGCTGGGCTTTGGGGAGCCAGCTAACCTGCCTCTGGGGCCCCACCTGTGTCACCAAACAATGGGGCAAGGCAGGGGCGGAATGTCTGGGAGACAGGGAGAGCAGGTGAGAAGGGTGGGGTGGGTGGGGTGGCCACGCCCGAGAGTGACTTGCATGAGCTGAGCCTTGAGCCTTGAGCCAGCCGGGCCCATCTGGGACACTCAACTAGGTCAGAGGGACTAGAGCCACTGCAATGTGTAAGGTAGTAGAACGGTGAGGTCGGAACCCAGGCAGTGGCCACCTCAGGCCATGCCCATTGCCTGGGTGTGGGGGTCTGGACTGACCCTGAGGGCAGTGGGGAGCCACAGAGTTGTAGGCAGGGAGGGGCGAAATCTGACTTAGGTTTTCACGCTGCTTCTCAGGCTGCCCTGTGGAGAATGGACTATAGCAGCGGCGTTGGGGCTCAGTTGGAGGGAGAGCCACTGGCCTGGCCCAGGACAGGCTGGCAGTGGTGCGGGAGGGTACACGGTAAGGGAAGGACCTATTGGGGGCTAGTTGGGGGGGTGTGGTCTGTGCACTGTTGAGCTTCCCGGGCCAGGCTGGTGGGCTCCCTGCCCCAGGAGAGCACCCACCTGGAAGAGGGCCACAGGCCAGGCCAGGGTGGGCCCTCGGGCCCAGAGGCTGCACCAGGCAGGGGCTGAAAGAGTAGGGGACACCACCAGGATCGAGGCAGCCAGGAACCCTCAGATCCTCTGGTGCCCAAGCGGGGCTGGGTCCCCATTAGCTAGCCGTTCAAGCTCTAGGCCACTGACTTGCTGAGGTGGTGATGTCAGGAGTGGTCTCCAGGCCCAGATGCCTCTCTCTCCCCGCCTCGGGCTCCCCTGGCCTCAGGCACCCTCCCTGGGCCCGCGCTTGGACCTGCACACACAGGCTGATGGGTGGGCGGCAGCGGCTCTCCAGGAAAGTCGTGTGTGTTTGTGTATGTGGGTATCTCTCTGTATGTACGTGTGTGTACATATGCACAATGTCGGTTGCCATTTTCATTTATCTTAATGAGTAAGAGGAAGGGAAACAACAAAGGTATATTTGGGAACTTCCCATGTTCATTGGTGACACGAGCCACACCTTTGCTGAACTAGATCATAGTTTTTGTTATTTGAAGAGTATCCTCTCCCCCCCCCTTTTTTTGCTAGTCACGACATAGTGACTACAGACTCAAGTTTACACAGTCAACCAAACAGTAATGGATCAAGCCCTGGTTTGTAGCGTATGCCGTCCCGCGGTGTTGTCAGTCTGTGCACCGGGCCAACTTCCAGCTACCCACACAACGTCCTCGAATGCGAAGCCGGGCAGAGCTTCACTGTAGCACGCTGTAATGTAGACTCCTACCAATGGGTACGGTAGGTGGGGGTCAGTACGTGGGCACCAGTAAACTGGTGAGATAGGATATGATGAGTTTTGAGTATCTCCTTTGTTTTTAATATAAGTGGAAGTTCAGATAATTTCATTTCTAATAATGGTGGTGTTTCAAATCAGCTCTCAAAATTCCTGAACATTTGACATCTATTAGAATGGCTACAATATAAAAGGCTGCCCATAGCCAAGTTTTGGCGATGATGTGGAAGAACTGGTAGAAATGTAAGATGATAGAACCACTTTGGAAAACAGTTTGGCTGTGTCTTAAAATGCTAAACGTGCACCTGCCACGATGACCCTGTGATTCCACTACTGGGTATTTACTTACCCAACAGAAATGAATGTATGTGTCCACACAAAGACTCACACGTGACTGTTCATGGTAGCTTTATTCAGAACAGTCCTGGACTGGACACAGCCTCAGAAGGTGGAACAAAGCATGGCACATCCGTGAGCTCCTGAGACACAGCACTCTGGGGGAGGGGGATACCCATGGTACGTACGCTGCGTGAAAGGGGCCAGACCCAGGGAAACAACTCCGCCGCTCCAGCTCACCCTGGCCAGCCACCTGCCTGTTGTCAAGATGTGTCACTGGCTGATAAGCCACATCAGTGTCTGCCAATGGGGATGTGTCTGTGATCAGCAGCATACTCGGGGAACGTGACACAAGCCAATTGAAAACAGAATTATTCATGCAGAGGGACAAGGACCAAAGTAACAAGGCCAGGAGCGTTTTCGGCTTGTCTTTGTGCAGGGAACAATGTGATGAGGACAAAGTCTGAACCAGGCCATGCACAAGCCTCAAGCAGAAAGCTGGAGACACCACACGGGCCAGCCCTCCTGCCATTGTTTCTTCGGGGGAGCCACTGGATGTTGGCGTTTTCTGCAAGCGATGCCTGGCCTCATACAGAATTCCTAGAGGGCAGACAAGTGTCTGCAAAAGAGTTTCATGCTGTGGATCCCTGTCCCTGAGAGCAGCGTCGGCATTGTGGGGACCCTGCTTTCTGCACCTCAGCTCGTGCACGTGCACCCCCCCCCACACCCCTCCCCATTCACACACCCACCTCTGCCCACACCCGCACACCGACTCACGGGTGTGCAAACACACCCCTCACAGATGCCCCCTCACATACTTAGATGCACCTCATTCACACACGTGTGCTTATGATTCTGCATAAAAGGGGTCTTATTAGAAGCTGCTTTAAAAAATCATAAGCACCTCTTTCTTGTGTTAATGGTCTATAATGTCAGTTTCCTCTAAGGTAAACTGCCATAATTCTGTTTCTTCAGTGTTTGCAGTGGTATCTCCTTTCTCGTTTATACATTCCGTTGGTCTTTTCAAAGAGAAAACAGGATTTTGATTTATCCTTTTTCCTTTTCTTTGTTTTCTGCTTCATTAACTGCAGCTTTTATCTTTATTAATTCCATCTGTCTATTTTCTTTGGGTTTAGTTTTTGTTCTTTTTCTTAAGAGGAAAACTAAGTTCCTTTGTCATCTTCCGTCTTGAATAACTGAGGCCAAAGACTAACGTTTCCCTGAGTGAGATCTCCCTCTTTGCTTTCTTTGCATTACGGGTGTTTCTTTTTTTTTTTTTTAATTTAATTTTATTATGTTGTGTTAATCACCATACATTACATCATTAGTTTTTGATGTAGTGTTCCATGATTCATTGTTTGCGCATAACACCCAGTGCTCCATGCAGAACATGCCCTCTTTAATACCCATCACCGGGCTAACCCATCCCCCCACCCCCCTCCCCTCTAGAACTCTCAGTTTGTTTCTCAAGAGTCCATAGTCTCTCATGGTTCGTCTCCCCCTCCGATTCCCCCCCTTTATTTTTCCCTTCCTACTATCTTCTTCTTCTTCTTCTTTTTTTAACATATAATGTATTGTTTCAAAGGTACAGGTCTGTGATTCAGCAGTCTTACACAATTCACAGCACTCACCATAGCACATACCCTCCCCAATGTCTAGCACCCAGCCGCCCCATCCCTCCCACCCCCCACCGCTCCAGCAACCCTCACTTTGTTTCCTGAGATTAAGAATTCCTCATTTCAGTGAGATCTTATGATACATGTCTTTCTCTGATTGACTTATTTCGCTCAGCATAATACCCTCTAGTTCCATCCACGTCATGGCAAATGGCAAGATTTCATTTTTTTTTTGATGGCTGCATAATATTCCATTGTGTACATATACCACATCTTCTTTATCCATTCATCTGTCGATGGACATCTTGGCTCTTTCCATAGTTTGGCTATTGTGGACATTGCTTCTATAAACATTGGGGTGCACGTACCCCTTTGGATCACTACACTTCTATCTTTGGGGTAAATACCCAGTAGTGCAATTGCTGGGTCGTACGGTAGCTCTGTTTTCAACTTTTGGAGGAACCTCCATACTGTTTTCCAGAGTGGCTGCACCAGCTTGCATTCCCACCAACAGTGTAGGAGGGTTCCCCTT